ATATTTATATTTACAAATATATATTTTTAAAAATATATTTATTTTAAAAATATATATTATATATTTTAATATGTATTTTTATTTATATATTTTATATATATATATATATATATTTTAGAGGCAGGATCTTTGGGCAATTTTATATATATTTTAGAGGCAGGATCTCTTTCTGATGCCCAGGCTGGAGTGCAGTGACATGATAATAGCTCACTGTAACCTTGAACTCCTGGGCTCAAGTGATTCTTTCACTTCAGCCTCCCAAGTAGCTGGGACTACAAATGTATACCAACAGGCATTGCTAATTGTTTTTGCTGTGTGTGTGTGTGTGTGTGTGTGTGTGTGTGTGTGTGTGTTTCTTTTGTGGAAATGGGGTCTCACTTATGATGCCCAGGCTGGTCTTGAACTCCTGGCCTTAAGAAGTCTTCCTATGTTGGCCTCCCAAAGTGCTGGGATTATAGTTCTGAGCCACTGCACTTGGCCCAATATTCTTTACATAGGGACTCAGGGGTAAGCAAACCAGAAATGGTTCTTGTCCTCATAAAATTGACAATCTGGCTGGGCACAGTGGCTCACGCCTGAAATCCCAGTGCTTTGGGAGTTCCAAATGGGAGGATCACTTGAGCCCAGGAATTTGAGACCAAGCCTAGCTAATATAAGCAAGACCCGTCTCTAAAATAAGACTTAAATTCTAATTTTTTTCTTTTTTTTGCTCTCTTGCCCAGGCTGGAGTACAGTGGTGCAATCTTGGCTCACAGCAACCTCTGCCTCCCAGGTAGCTGAGATTACAGGCATGTGCCATTACACCCAGCTAACTTTTTGTATTTTTAGTAGAATGAGGTTTCACCATGTTTGCCAGGAAGGTCTTGAACTCCTGGCCTCAAGTGATCCTCCTTCCTTGGCCTCCCAGAGTGCTGGGATTACAGGCATGAACCACCACACCTGGCCTGCAGTCTAACTTTGAAGTTTTTTTGGAGTATGAGGGAAAAGGTAAAACATTAATTAAAAGATTAGATAACGCTTGGGTTTTGAAATTATTTTCCACTTGTGGTGAGGTGGAAATAGCCTAGTACTGAAGAAGGGATGTGATTTGGCCTTTCATGAACAAGTTTTTCCCAAATCTTTATACCCTCAGTTTTCCTCAGCTATTGAGAGAGTATGATAATGAGTTTTATAGTTCTAAATGTAAATACTAGGGCAAAAAGGGTTAAAATTCTATGATTTAAGCTTCCATCTCATAATGCTAGGAAAAAGAATAAACCCAAGGAAGTAGAAGGAGAGAAATTATAGCGATAAGAACAGAAACTAACGAAAAGGGCCAGACATGGTGGCTCACCCCTGTAATTCCAGCACTTTGGGAGCCTAAGGCAGGTAGATCACCTGAGGTCAGGAGTTTGAGACCAGCCTGGCCAACATGGTGAAGCCTCATCTCTACTGAAAATACAAAAATTAGCTGGGCGTGGTAGCTACCTCCTGTAATCCTAGCTACTCAGGAGGCTGAGGTAGGAGAATCGCTTGAATGCAGGAGGTGGAAGTTGCAGCGAGTTGAGATTACACCATTGCATTCCAGCCTGGACAACAAGAGTGAAACTCCGTCTCAAAGAAAAAAAACAAAACTTTTTCATTAAACAAGAATTATTCAATTATTCAGCCTTTTTCCTGAGGTAGTTTGTTTCAGAGACGAAGTCATAGCCAATGCGTATGAGGTCCTCTAAGACCACATTCCTCAGAGATTAGCTGCGAGGGGTCCACCAACTTGGCCTCCTTGAGGCTATGCTTTACTGTTGTGAGCCTTCAGAGAATCTCCTGAGTGCCTCATTTTTTTGGGTTTGTCCCTCAGTGACCCTTTAGAACTTGGTTTAGCTTGTATATCTTGTACTGTCTAGAAGGCGTGTGAGCCCTCATCATGTTCTGTTTCAGTGTTTGAGCAACACGGCACCACTGACTGACTACTTTCTCAAAGATGAGTATGAAGCCGAAATCAACAGAATCAACCCCCTGGGGATGAAAGGGGAAATTGCAGAAGCCTACGCAGAGCTCATTAAGCAGATGTGGTCTGGAAGGGATGCCCACGTGGCACCTCGCATGTTCAAGGTAGGTACAGATATATATACAGGTTGAGTATCCCTTCTCTGAGATGCTTGGAACCAGAAATGTTTCGGGACTTCAGATTTTTTAGGGCTTTGGAATATTTATGCTTACTAGTTCAGCATCCCCATTCCAAAATCCCAAATGTTTCAATGAGCATTGCCTTTGAATATCATGTCACTGTTAGAAAGGTTATAGATCTTTGAGCATTTTGGATTTCAGATTTTCAGATAAGGGATATTTTCATCTGTGCTTCCTTTTTCCCACTTTGGGAAGAGTAGTTTAGTGTTGTTTTGAGGCATTCCTTTCGTTGCATTTGGGATTAAGATGGGATGTAATGGCTGGTCGCGGTGGCTCATGCCTGTAATCCCAGCACTTTGGGAGGCCAAGGCGGATGGATCACCTGAGGTCAGAAGTTTAAGACCAACCTGGCCAACATGGTGAAACCCTGTCTCTACTAAAAATGCAAAAATTATCTGATTGTGGTGGCGCACGCCTGTAATCCCAGCTACTAGGGAGGCTGAGGCAGGAGAATCACTTGAACCCAGGAGATGGAGGTTGTAGTAAGCCGAGATCACACTACTGCACTCCAGCCTGGGTGACACAGTGAGACTATGTCTTGAAAAAAAAAAAAGATGACATCTGAGACTAACAGCACCACATTGTCAAACCCTTTTTCTGTCATTCAGTCATTTAGCACACCCTTAAATGTCCTCAGTGCCACCTCTGGGTTGGGGATGTCCCAGAAGTTATTTGTAAACTGGCTCCTCAGAATGCTGTGTTCTGTGGTGGCAGTATTTAAATAGTCAGTTTCCTAAGCCAGACTATAAAAATTCAGTTTCTTGGAAAGCCAAGGTGGGAGCATCCCTTGAGCCCAGGAGTTTGAGACCAGCCTGGGCAACAGAGTGAGACTCTGTTTTTGTTTTGTTTTGTTTGAGACAGAGTCTCACTCTGTTGCCCAGGTTGGAGTGCAATGGTACGATCTTGGTTCACTGTAGCTTCCACCTTCTGGGTTCAAGCGATTCTCATGCCTCAGCCTCCTGTGTAGCTGAGACTGCAGGCGTGCGCCACCATGCCTGCCTAATTTTTTTTTTTTTTTTGAGATGGAATCTTGCTTTGTTGCCAGGCTGGAGTGCAGTGGCTCGATCTCGGCTCACTGCAAGTGCTATCTCCCGGGTTCAAGGAATTCCCCTGCTTCAGCCTCCTGAGTAGCTGGGACTACAGTGTACAGGTGCGGGCCACCACACCTGGCTGATTTTTTTTTTTTTTTTTAAAGGTCTCACATATTTATTACTGAACCCAGGCAACCAAAGCCTTCTTTTTTTTTTTTTTTTTAAACATGAATAATGGAAGCACTGTGGGTTGTACTAACTAATGCCTTCACAACAGATACAGAGAGGAAACTGTTCAGACTTCTCCAGATAATGGTGACATTTTTCAGCTTGATTTGGTAACATGATTGTGACCTTCAGACAGCATAAATATATGTGCCGTTGCGTGTGTAATTTCTTATAGACCCAGCTGGGTTCTTCTCCAATGTCTCCTTTTGGAGTTGTACCTGATTTTATTACCAGTTTTCATCCAAATCCACTGGGGAATGGGACGATTTTGCTTTTGTTTCTTGGCCGGGTATTGCTTAATCCTGAAAGTCTTGTGAGAAGACATGGTGATAAACGGAGTAAAGCAAACACCACGATGGCGGAGAAAGGAAGAGAGGAGCGATTTTTTTTTTTTTAATTTTAGTAGACATGGGGTTTCACTGTGGCCAGGCCTAATTTTGGTATTTTTAGTAGAGACAGGGTTTTGCCATGTCAGCCAGGTTGGTCTCGAACTCCTGATCTTAGGTGATCCACCTACCTCAGCCTCCCAAAGTGGTGGGATTATGGGCGTGAGCCACTGTGCCCAGCCGAGCCTCTGTTTCTTTAAAAACAACAAAAAAGGCCAGGCAAGGTAGCTCATGCCTATAATCCCAACACTTTCATAGGCCAAGGTGGGCAGCCTCAAGGTCAGATCGAGACCAACCTGGATGTGATGGCAAAACCCTGCCTTTACTAAAAAAAAAAAAAAAAAAAGAACACCAACAAAAACATTAGCTGGACATGGTGACATGCTGGTAGTGCCAGTTACCAGGGAGGCTGAGATGGGAGAATTACTTAAGCCTGGGAAGTCAAGGCTGCAGGGAGCTGTGATTGTGCCACACTCCAGCCTTGGCGACAGAGACCCTGCCTCTAAAAAAAAAAAAAAAAGGAAAATTCAGTTTAACTTCTAGTATCATCTGAAGGCTGTTTCCAGGTTCTCTGAGCCTGGATTCTATAGCCTCTGTGGTTTGAGTTGGGACCCCCTGACTCAGGAATTGGGCTCACATTCTTGAAAGGTGATTTGAGGGGCAGTTATCACTGGGGTCCTTCAGCCAGGAAGGTTTAAGAAGACCTGGGTGAAGTACAATGGACAGTTGGAGGAACTTGGGCTTTCCGTTGCCCCAAATGCTTTTTCCTGCTGAGGTGAAGGTGCCTTCCTGTAGGGTCCAGCCCTACAGGGTTCTGTGAGCCCCTCCTGGCTGGTGCAGAGACGAGAAATTGTAGAAATAAAAGACACAAGACACAGAGATAGAGCAAAGAGAGTTTGGGCCCAGGGGTCCACTGCTACCCAAATCGTGGAGACCAGCAGTGGCCCCGAATGCTGGGACACTCTCACTTTTACTGAGTTGCAAATCTGGGGTCAGGGTAGGTAGAGCATGGTCTTGGTGGTCAGAGACTAGGGGCAGGGTAGATAGGGTGTGGCAATGATAGGGTCAAGTACATCACGTGTCATTCAGGTAGGGGCTCAGGAATTTCTGGCACCTGAGGTGAGGTAAGGAGCATAATGCATCAGCACCTTTTCCATACTTATCAAGAAAGAACTAAAACATTAAGATTTATATTACTATTACTGTTACTATCTTTTCTAAGAAAAAAGGAACCAGGTTCAGAAGTAGAACATGAGAGTAGACATGGAACGTGACCACTGAAGCACAGCATCGCATAGAGACAGTTAAGCCCCCGTATGTCTGTAGGTGTACCTGACAGCCGTCAGGTCTTAACCACAAGAGCTTGGAGAAGCGGAGTTTTCTCCTAACTTTCCCAGGAAGGAGATGTCTTGGCCATTTTGGACATCTCCTTCCCTAGCTGGCTAACAGCGGGCGCTTTCCCAGCCCTGGTGCTGCTGCACAGCCAAGGCGCCCTCCAGCAGCCCTTATGCGGGCATGACAGAGGGCTTAAAGCATCTTGCCTTAGTGTCATTCATTTCACAGTGTCACCCCAGGTTCACACTTCCGACCTGAGAGGCATTAGTAAAAGAATTAAGATCACCTATGAATAACTAAAATCACATATGAATAACTAGTGATTACTACAGTTATATTTCTAGTTACTTTCTTCTTCATTATCTATGTGGAAATAGACTGAGGCCTTTTGCTCCTGCTTCGGCACTTATGGGATCTTCTCCCTACAACTTGCCCCTTCCCCTCCCCCAGTAGATTTAAGCTGAAATCTGAGAGATCCTATTTAGCCTGTACCACTGGGATTCATGGAGCTTCATGAAGCATATGATAAAAAAAAGACATGCATATTTATGATTCAGAGAGGAAAGAAAAAATAGCATCTTAGCTCATTGAGAAAATTGAAATCTCAGGTGGGTTGTTGAAATTGAAAACTAATTCCCTTTCATCCCCTTGGTCACATTAATCCCTGGGAAATATGTAAATGACTGTTCACATACTAAGTCACAAAGAAACTAGAATTGGGTGGCAACAGCTGGATGCAGTGGCTCACACCTGTAATCCCAGCACATGGGGAGGCTGAGGTGGGCAGGTGACTTGAGGTAAGGGGTTCAAGACCAGCCTGGTCAATATGGTGAAACCCTATCTACTAAAAATATAAAAATCAGACAGGCATGATGGCGCACTCCTGTAATCCCAGCTACTTGGGAGGCTGAGGCATGAGAGTTGCTTGAACCCGGGAGGCAGAGGTTGCAGTGAGGCCAAGGTCGTGCCACTGCACTCCAGTTTGGGTGACAGAGCAAGACCCCCTCTCAGAAAACAACAACAACAAAAGAATTAGATGGTAATACACTGTGCTGAAGCTAATGTAAATAAACAACTGGGAGGCAGTGTTTAGGAATGTTAGGAAAGTGTGATGCTTCCTCAGTGATGAATGTGTTATATATCTGCCCTACGATGTGGTAGCCACTAGCTCCAGCACCTCTGAGCACTTGAGATGTTGTTCATTTGACCAAGGAACTGAATTTTTAATTTTTTTTTTTTTTTCCAGACAGTCTTGCTCTGTCACCAGGCGCCAGGCTGGAGTGCAGTGGCACAACTGCAGCTCACTACAGCCTCCTCCTCCTGGGTTCAAGCAATTCTCCTGCCTCAGCTTCCCGAGTAGCTGGGACTGCAGGCGAGTGCCACCACGCACAGCCAATTTTTGTATTTTTTAGTAGAGGCGAGGTTTCACTATGTTGGCCAGGATGGTCTTGTGATCTGCCCGCCTTGGCCTCCCAAAGTGCTGGGATTACAGGCATGAGCCACTGTGCCCAACCTTTTAATGGTTTTTAGTTGTAATTAATGTAAATTTAAATTGCCACATGTGGCTAGTGGCTATAGTATTAGACAACAGTTGTAGAACAATGATTCTCCAATTTTTTTTTTCTTTTTTTTTGAGACAGAGTCTTGCTCTGTCACTCAGGCTGGAGTGCAGTGGCCCGATTTTGGCTCACTGCAACCTCCACCTCTTGGGCTCAAGTGATTCTCCTCCCTCAGCCTCCTGCGTAGCTGGGATTACAGATATGCACCACAATGCCTGGCTAATTTTTGTATTTTTAGTAGAGACAGGGTTTCACCATGTTGGCCAGGCTGGTCTTGAACTCCCAACCTTAGGTGATCTGCCTGCCTCGACCTCCCAAAATGCTGGGATTACAGGTGTGAGCCACCGTGCCTGGCCAGTTCTCCACAGGAAGCATCACAGTCTCTGGGAGTGCTTAGTACAACACAGACTGCTAGTCCCATCCCCAGAGTTCCTGACTGAATAGGTTTGGTGTGGGGCCTAAGAATGTGCATTTCTACTAAGCTCCCAGGTGATATTAATGCTGCTGGCTGGGGACCATACTCTGAGAATCCCTGGTGGAGGGTAATACTGGACAGATAGTATTTAGGGACCTGAGGGCTGTCATATACAGGAGGATTCCTCCAGCTGATTAAAGTATCATTTGTAATGTCCTTATGGAGTTTAAGACTCTGAACCATGGCCGGGCGCGGTGGCTCAAGCCTGTAATCCCAGCACTTTGGGAGGCCGAGGCGGGTGGATCACAAGGTCAAGAGGTCAAGACCATTCTGGTCAACATGGTGAAACCCCGTCTCTACTAAAAATACAAAAAATTAGCTGGGCATGGTGGCGCGTGCCTGTAGTCCCAGCTACTCAGGAGGCTGAGGCAGGAGAATTGCCTGAACCCAGGAGGCGGAGGTTGCGGTGAGCCGAGATCGCGCCATTGCACTCCAGCCTGGGTATCATGAGTGAAACTCCATCTCAAAAAAAAAAAAAAAAAGACTCTGAACCAAAGAAGGACATGTTGGAGAGGGATTCATGTCAGTACTTGGGTGTGGTTATTCAGGGTACCCCACCCTGCTTCCCTAGGACTTAGGGCAGTAGCCCAGGTTCCAGGTTCATCCTCCTGGCTCTCTGATCTAGGGCTTCTCTCTGGTGGGAACCACTGGCCTCCTGTAGGCTCTTCAGAAGTTAATTGAACTAGTCAACCAAGTGTTCTTTCTCACTGCCCCAGCTGACTCCGCAGGTTATTTTTGATGACAATTCTCATTTGATTTCACTCATTCTTTACATATTATACCTTCTGATGCAGTTGCTTTTGTTGTAGACCCAAGTGGGACGTTTTGCTCCTCAGTTTTCTGGCTACCAGCAACAAGATTCACAGGAGCTATTAGCCTTTCTTCTAGATGGACTGCATGAAGATCTGAACCGAGTAAAGAAGAAACCCTACCTGGAGCTGAAGGATGCCAATGGGCGGCCAGATTCGGTATGCTGTTAACCATGTCTGAACAATAACATGCCAAAGAAGCAGCCTCCTGTTGAGAATGCAGGGATATCCTTCTGGTCTTTGAGTGTTGCTGCTGGGGCCCTGGTTGCTTCTCACTGTAGCTAGTTATAGGGATATGGTCTCTGGTCAGAAAGGGGCTAACTCTAGTTACTGCCTTTTTTTTTTTTTTAAATAGAGACGAAATCTTGCTATGTTATCTAGGCTGGTCTGCAGCTCATGAGCTCAAGTAGTCCTCTCATCTTGGCCTCCCAAAGTGCTAGGATTACAACAGGCATGAGCCGCTGTACCTTAGTTACCCCTAATGCTTCCTCTTGGGCTTTTTCAAACTAGAGTGAGCTTGTTTGATATTTTACTAGTGAACCAGGGACTGAGGACACTCTGAGAACTATAAAGTGCCTATAGTGAGGACCCCTAAGATTATGACTCACAATAAAATTTATCCATGATTACTTAAATAATTTGTTATTAATATCATTAGGACATTATAGTTTTTGCCTTAATTTTCTGATCAGTGAAAGAGGATTTTAGTATTTCAGCTACCCTAACACATTGGGGTAATCAATTTGAATGCTTTAAAGTAACATTTAGATCTTCTTAGAAAGCTATGAGTTAGCTGAACTGTAGTATAGATTAAAACTTTATTTTTATTTTATTTATTTATTTATTTTGAGATGGAGTCTTGCTCTGTTACCCAAGCTGGGGTACAGTGGTATAATCTTGGCTCACTGCAACCTCTGCCTTCTGGATTCAAGTGATTCTCCTGCCTCAGCCCCCCGAATAGCTGGGATTACAGGTGCGTGCCACCATGCCCAGCTAATTTTTTTTTTTTTTTTTTTGAGACGGAGTTTCGCTCTTGTTACCCAGGCTGGAGTGCAATGGCGCGATCTCGGCTCACCGCAACCTCCGCCTCCTGGGTTCAGGCAATTCTCCTGCCTCAGCCTCCTGAGTAGCTGGGATTACAGGCACGCGCCACCATGCCCAGCTAATTTTTTGCATTTTTAGTAGAGACGGGGTTTCACCGTGCTGACCGGGATGGTCTCGATCTCCTGACCTCGTGATCCACCCGCCTCGGCCTCCCAAAGTGCTGGGATTACAGGCTTGAGCCACTGAGCCCGGCCTCAAGCGATTCTTCTATCTCAGCCTCCTAAGTAGCTGGGACTACAGGCGTGCACCACCACACCTGGCTAATGTTTGTATTTTTATTAGAGATGGGGTTTCATCATATTGGCCAGGCTGTTCTAAAACTCCTGACCAGCCGGGCGCGGTGGCTCAAGCCTGTAATCCCAGCACTTTGGGAGGCCGAGGCGGGTGGATCACAAGGTCAAGAGATCGAGACCATCCTGGTCAACACGGTGAAACCCCGTCTCTACTAAAGCTACAAAAAATTAGCTGGGCATGGTGGCGCGTGCCTGTAATCCCAGCTGCTCAGGAGGCTGAGGCAGGAGAATTGCCTGAACCCGGGAGGCGGAGGTTGCGGTGAGCCGAGATCGTGCCATTGCACTCCAGCCTGGGTAACATGAGTGAAACTCCGTCTCAAAAAAACAAAAACAAAAACAATAAAACTCCTGACCTTGTGATCTGCCCACCTCAGCCTCCTAAAGTACTGTGATTACAGGCATAAGCCACCGCACCTGGCCTATTTTAAAAATTTATTTATTTATTTATTTTGAGTCAGGAGTCTTGCTCTGTTGCCCAGGCTGGAGAGCAATGACGTGGCCCTGGCCCACTGCAAGCTCCACCTCCCAGGTTCAAATGATTCTCCTGTTTCAGCCTCCTGATTAGCTAGGACTACCATGTACCACCACGCTTGGCTAATTTTTTGTATTTTTTTAATTAAAAAAATTTTTTTTTGAGACAGAGTTTCACTCTTATTGCACAGACTGGAGTGCAATGGTATGATCTCAGCTCACCGCAACCTCCGCCTCCCAGGTTCAAGCCATTCTCCTGTCTCAGCCTCCTGAGTAGCTGGGATTACAGGCATGTGCCACCATGCCTGGCTAATTTTTTATTTTTAGTAGAGACAGGGTTTCTCCATGTTGGTCAGTCTGGTCTCGAACTCCTGATCCTGGTGATCAACCTGCCTCGGCCTCCCAAAGTGCTGGCATTACACGCGTGAGCCACCACGCCTGGCCAATTTTTGTGTTTTTAGTAGAGATGGGGTTTCACCTTGTTGTCCAGGCTGGTCTTGAACTCCTGACCTCAGGTGATTCACCTACCTCAGTCTTTCAAAGTGCTGGGAGTACCGGCTTGAGTCACCGCGCCCCACCAAAAATCTTACTTTAGATCACTGGAAACACATGGGGGGGTTTTCCATGCCCTGGCCATGTCTCTGTATCCACAGTGTTCTCTAGGATTCTGTTTCCTTTTTTTTTTTTTCTTCTTTTTCTTTTCTATGGAATCCAGAAGCATAGGATTCTGCTTCCTATCAGGACACAGAGACCCCTATTTTCCAATAGATCCTATGTTGCCAACCTTATTAAGTGCGGGAATTAGGGTGAGGCACAGTGGCTCACCCCTGCAGTTCCAGCACTTTGGGAGGCTGAGGTGGGAGCATCATTTGAGGCCAGGAGCTCTAGAACCATCTGGTCAACATAGTAAGACCCCCATCTCTACAAACCTAGAAAAAAATTAGCCAGGCATGGTGGTGCTTGCCTATGGTCCCAGCTACTTGGGAGACTGAGGCAGGAAGATTGATTTGAGTCCAGGAGGTCGAGGCTGTAGTGACCCATGATTATGGCACTGCCTTCCAGCCTGAGTGACAGAGCAAGACCATGTCTCAATCACTAAAATATAAATTTGAAATATATATATATGTGAAATATATGTATGTGTGTGTGTTGGGGTGGGGATTGGGTATAGAGCTGGCATGTGGTGTGAGTATGATACACTAAGAGTAGTCCTGGCCTTGCTTGTTCTTGACCAAGCTCTTGGCTGTACAGATTGCCACCTTATTCATCTCCAGGTTTGCTGTGAGTCATTCTGGATGCAGGGGCAAGGGACTGAGAGGTGTTGAGAATGTCCTGATGTCCTGTTTATCCCTTTCACGCAGGTGGTGGCAAAGGAAGCCTGGGAGAATCACAGGTTGAGGAATGATTCTGTGATTGTGGATACTTTCCATGGCCTCTTCAAATCTACTTTGGTTTGCCCAGAATGTTTTAAGGTTTCTGTGACCTTTGACCCATTTTGCTATCTAACACTCCCATTGCCCTTGAAGAAAGATCGAGTTATGGAGGTTTTCCTAGTTCCTGCTGACCCTCACTGCAGACCTACCCAGGTAACAGAATCCTCATGGCGCCCCTCACTGCAAGTGGTCTCCAGATCCCAGTGGGACTGCTCCTATCTGCTGCATTGGCTGCCCCTGAGTCCCCTTGGTACTTGCCTGATTATGGGCCCTTGGCCTCCATCAGACCTTCGTGTAATTCCATATCATTCAAGACCAATTGTGAAGGTCTTCGGGGCCTCTCTGCTTGTCTGTCACTTTTTTTTTTTTTTTTTTTTTGAGACAGAGTTGCTCTGTGCTCAGGCTGGAGTACAGTGGCACGATAGCTCGCTATAACCCCTGCCTCCCAGGTTCAAGCGATTCTCCTACCTCAGCCACTCTGTAGCCAGGATTACAGGTGTGTGCCACCTCGTTCAGCTAATTTTTGTATTTTTAGTAGAGACATAGTAGAGACAGCGTGTTACCATGTTGGGCAGGACTCCCGACCTCAAGTAATCTGCCCATCTTGGCCTCCCAAAGTGCTGCGATTATAGGCATGAGCCACCACGCCTGGCCTCTGTCACTTTTTTGGCCATACTTCATTCATGTGAATAAATAACCTGATCTGCTTAGTGGTTCTTGAATTTGAATGCTGGGGAACCAGAAGCAGGGTACTTTTCATACTCAGATATACCCTCAAGTCAGCTAGGATAGCCTATCCAGAAGATTAGGTCAGATGAGAGGTGTGAGCAGCAGGTCTTAGTGTCTAACCCTGCTGATGGCTCACTGAGTAATTGTACTACTTAGTCTTCTGGCTTTGTTTTTTTATTAATCTCTAAAGAAAGAGGCCAGGGTTAGGGGCTAACACCTTTAATCCCAGCACTTTGGGAGGCTGAGGTGGGAGGATTGCTTAAGACCAGGAGTTTGAGACCCTGTCTCTACAGAAAATAAAATAAAAAAATAAAGGTAGGACCAGATGGCAATTTAAATTTGTATAATTTTAGCAGTTCTTTAGAGGAAATAGTGGAGTACTCTAAATAATTAAGAATAAAATGAAACAATGTTTGGAAGAGAGAGATGGCCCAGCCCTCATGCTGCTGCTTGTATATTGAGGAGGGTGCAGACAGAGAGGTCTTGCTTATTTGCCCTGCTGCTGACTCATCTGTGCCCTGACCTCACCATACTGTTTTTGGAAGGGCTTCTCTGCCCTTAGTGATGCCTACTTCTCCTAATTCATTTCCCACCCTTTGTGGGGCACCCCTGTGACTTTGACCATCTCTCTTGCAGTACCGCGTGACTGTGCCGCTGATGGGGGCTGTGTCTGACCTGTGCGAGGCTCTCTCCAGGCTGTCTGGCATTTCTGCAGAAAATGTAAGGCCGGGTGATCAGTGGCACTCGGACTATTTGGGATATTTCATAACATTTAGAGTTTACTTTCATCCTTGAAGCCACTTTTTGGGAGTAGTTGTTATTGGCCAGCACAAATGTGATTATTTGTGTGTGTTTGGATACCTCACTCATTATGCACACTGTGGCTGAGACTGTCCCTTCCAGCTCCAGGAAACACCATCTTTCCTTCATTGGGTTGACACTAGCCGTGGTCAAAGGGGAAGGATTAGGGCTTTGCTCTCAGTACTGTGTGATGAGGGTGGCATAGAGACTGCAGGCTATGAAATACTCCAGAGGCTCTGAACAATTACTAGTCTCTGGTTAGCACCACGCCCCTCACCCCTCCTGCCACTTGAGGGCAGATGCAGCATGTTCAATTCTGATGGCAGCCATACTTGACACTGAGCTGTCTGGGGCTGTTTGTGTGGTGGTTTCTCTAGAGGCATGGCTTGAGTATGGTATTTTATTTATTTATTTATTTATTTATTTATTTCATTTGTTTTTGGGTTTTAAGCATTATTAGGGGCACTCTTAGTTATTCGGTGATCTTTCTGTTACTATTGATTCTTAGATGGTGGTCACAGATGTGTATAATCACCGATTCCACAAAATTTTCCAAATGGATGAAGGTTTAAACCATATCATGCCTCGGGATGACATTTTCGTGTGAGTACTCAGCAGTTTCTGCTGCACGTCAGGTCAGAGGACACATGCTACAGACTTTGCTGCATTCATATCTCCAGAACAAAAATTTGGTCAGTCGGTGCTCATGTGGATTGGCCCTGACACCTGGGTGCAAGAGATGGGTGTTGAGGGCATCATGGGCAGCCATCAGTGCTCAACCCCTCCTGCCTCCAGAGCTAGACATCCTGATAACTCTCTTCAGCACAGATACAGCCTTTTTTCAACAGTTGTTTCCTATGAAGAAGGCTGATTCAGTGCTCCTACAGTTGGTCCTACTTTCAGAGATGCCTTTCTTAAGAGGAGTCACAGCTGTGTGACACAGCAAGATGGTAGTTTGGGAGTGGTACAGAAGGACTTGTCCTTTCTCAGCCACGGGCCGTGACTTCTCAGCCAGTAGCACAATACTACCTACCATTCCCAATGCAGAAATGATAGGGAGGGCTGATTTAGACAGCTGTTTTCAGCTCAAACATTCTGTAAGCTCTGAGACTGAGTTTTTTCATCTCTGTGAGGAAAACGCAGATGTCTCCTCTGCCCCTCCCACATGCTGCTTCATGGCTTCTCTTTGTAATTATATGTGTGTCCCTCTTCTAGGCAGCATGGAGTAATAACTTCCTTGGTGCTCCCATACATGAACTTGCCTGCCATTCCCAGACAGCCATTTGCTAGGAGGTGTGGAGCACAGCCGTATTGTCCCTCTCTCTTTACCTCATTCAGAAACTTCACTCTGCTGAGAAAGGGTTTTAGGATTTGGTTTTGGTTTTTGTTTTTGGCTGAGGAATTCAAAGGAGATAGCTCTTTACCTTTATATTTTTGGGCCTATGACTTCTAGAACACTCTAAAAGGAATAGTTATTAGCCACACCCAAGATCTATTTTTGTTCTCAGTTGCATATGGACACAGCCAAGAGCTTGCACTGTGCCAAGGGCTAGGACATGGGAAAGTCTGCTTTTGTAGGCATTTATAATCCCAAGTACTTAACATGGTCTCCATAAATTCCAGAAACTAGTTTTTTCACACACTTGAGCTGAAAGGAACTGGGTGATTACCCTGTGGGGAGCTTAGCAGACCACCAGCAAAGGAATTTTCAGAGGGCCTAAGGGCCAACCGTTGGAAAAGCAAATTATTTTATAGATGAATTGACAATTGTTTTATGAAAGCAATAGTAGCATCTGGTGCTTTTTTAAATGTGTTATACACTGTCTACTAAATTATTTAATTCTCACCGCACTCTTTAAAGTAGGTAATCCCATTGTCCACTGAGTAAATAGACTTAGAAGTTAGGTGCTTATTACTGGGTCATAGCAGCCAGAAAATGGCAATGTGGACCTGGAACCTGGGCCAGCTATACTCCAAGGCCTGGTTCTTGACCACTATGCTGGACCACAGTATTTACTCCAGAGCGCACCTTGGATATTTTCGTGTATTCTTAGAAATTCCTCCCGCATCAACCTCAGTTAGGACTGTTTGCTGGGCATTTGGCATTTGGGGAGGGGTGTGTGTGTGTATATGTGTGCGTGTGTGTGTCCCTGCGCGCACGCGCTTGTGCGTGTGTGCATGTTTAGTTTCAAAATTTGAATCAGTAAGTTTGTGTCTCCCCCTATAGGCAGAGGGAAAGACTACAGTCAGTTGCCAGCAACTTTGGTAACATCTGTTCCAGGATAAAACATCTATAAATCTCCTCAGTCCCATGTATTCACTAAGTAAGACACAGTTTTTCAAAATCATTGATTTATATCTAGCAGTTTCTTTGATTATCTCTGATGTTTTTCAAAATTAGTTATGATTCTTTTACTTCAGTGTTTTTGAACAAAGACAACAGTTTTATAAATTTGCTTGCTGATTTGGAAAAAAAGAGCCTTTGGCTAATATCATCTTAGGTGTACATCTTTGTATAGTATTTGGTCTTATTAAAGGGAGGGCACTCAATGCATTTTTTTAAAGTTGAGCTCTTTCATGACCAAAGATGAACTTGGTGGCTGGATATAGCTATGTGCCTTTGTGTTCAGAGTGAGGATCTGAATGACAGCTGTTATCCGTGTTGGGTCCCAGTTGAGGGACCACAGAATTTGAGGCCATGGTTGGAGGAAGAAGTGTCATGGTTAGCCCTCAGCCCCAGATTATATAGGTTCACATTGTGCTGACAACGGTCCTTCTTGGGATTCCTGACTCAACCTCTAGAATCATCTTGGAAATAGTTATAGCCACCTTTTCTACTCGGATAGGCTCTGTCCCAGTAATCATAGCCCTGGCTACCACATAGCTTCAGCTCAGATCTCTGTTGTTCATAGGGACCTACTCCTAAAGGTGCCCTCTTGTGTGATTGATGCAGGTACGAGGTCTGCAGCACGTCCGTGGATGGCTCAGAATGTGTCACGCTTCCAGTCTACTTCAGGGAGAGGAAGTCCAGGCCATCAAGCACCTCCTCTGGGGCAGCACTGTATGGGCAGCCATTGCTGCTTTCTGTCCCCAAGCAAAAGTTAACCCTTGAGTCTCTATACCAGGCCGTTTGTGATCGTATCAGGTTGGTGGCAGGGATGTGATTTGGTTGTTATCTGAGAACAAGATATACGCAGTAATAGTAGTGGCAACCCTTGCCAAGTGGCTGTGTTGATCCCACATGCTCACCTCTGTAAGAAATGCAGTTATAGGCCGGGCATGACAGCTCATGCCGGTACTCCCAGCACTTTGGGAGGCCGAGGTGGGTGGATCACCTGAGGTCAGGAGTTCCAGACCAGCCTGGCCAACATGGTGAAACCCCATCTCTACTAAAAATGCAAAAATTAGCTGGGTGTGGTGGCAGGCACCTGTAATCCCAGCTACTTGAGAGGCTGAGTCAGAAAAATCACTTGAACCTGGGAGGTAGAGTTGCAGTGAGCCAAGATTGCACCATTGCACTTCAGCCTGGGTGACAGACTGAGACTCTGTCTCAAAAGAAAAAAAAAAAAAAGAAAAGAAACAATGAAATGCACTTGTGCCAGCCCCTGGATGGGCCAGGGCAGGTATTGTTGGGATGAGCCACCTGGCACATTTTAGACACCATGACCCTGGGAGTCCAGTCCTCTTAGAATCATGTTAGGGGGGCTAGTGCTTTGATGGCATTTGTATTCTATTTCTGAAGTGTTCCACTATTTCTCTGAAGCTGGAAATTAGGATTATTGGGAAATACCTTCAAAAATGATGTTGATGGTGCCACATGACATTCACATAAGACTGGAGACAAACTTTCTTAAAGTGTTCATTGGCTTGATTGATTAGACATCGAATTTCTTGTGGGTTTTTCTTTTTTTCTTTTTTTGTTTTTTTTAGATGGAGTCTTGCTCTGTCGCCCAGGCTGGTGTGCAGTGGTGCGATCTTGGATCACTGCAACCTCCACCTCCTGGATTCGAGCAATTCTCCTGCTTCAGCTTCCCCAGTAGCTGGGATTACAGGCATGTGGCACCACGCCCACCTAGTTTTTTTTATTCTTTGTAGCGATGAGGTTTCACCATGTTGGCCAGGCTAGTCTTGAACTCCTGACAAGTGATCCACCCACCTTGGCCTCCCAAAGTGCTGGCATTACAGGCATGAGCCACCATACCCAGCCCAGTGGATAATTTTAAAGCACTTTTATTTACATAAATCGCTCTATGGAACTGTTCATATAAATTATAATCTACTGCTTAGCTGCATGATGGAAAAAATAGGTAAATGTTACAACTAACAATCTTTTTTTTTCCTTCTCTTTTTCTCTTTTTTGAAGCCGCTATGTGAAACAGCCTTTGCCTGACGAGTTTGGCAGCTCACCCTTGGAGCCAAGGGCCTACAGTGGCTCCAGGAACAGCTGTGAAGGTGAGCATGCACCATGCTGTGGGGCTGTGACTGACCAGATACCTCCTGATTTCCCTCTTCTTCTAAAGATGTTATACACATGGGAGAAGGGGATTAGGACAGGGCTGGGGCTCTGCCTGCAGCAGCAGACCTGGGAGCTAGGTCTGCACCATTCTACTCTGCCAGTTCCTGTTGTCCAACTTTGCTACCTTGTGGAATCTTCCTTTTTTTTTTTTCTCCAGACAGGGGTCTCATTCCTGTTATGCAGGCTGGAATGCAGTGGTGCGATCATAGGTCCCTTTAACTTCAGACTCCTGGGCTCAAGCAGTTGTCCCACCTCAGCCTCCGGAGTAGCTGGGACTACAGGTGCATGCCATGACACTCAGCTAATTTTTTTAATTTTTTGTAAAGACGGGGGGGGGGGGGGGGGGGGGTTTGCCATGTTGCTCAGGCTGGTCTTGAACTTCTGGCCTCAAGCGATATTCCTGCCTTAGCCTCCCAAAGGGCTAGGATTACAGGCATGAGTCACTGCACCTGACATATCACTCTTCTTTTGGAACTGAGGTGACTCAGTGGCTTTATTTCTGTAAAACCATATATGTCTTTCAAGTTAGTGCTGAACATTTTTTCTTTTCTTTTTTCTTTGCGTAGGGTCTTGCTTATCACCCAGTCTGGAGTACGGTGGTGTGATCATGGTTTACTGCAGCCTCAACCTGCCAGACTCAGGCTGTCCTCCTTCCTTGCCCTCCCAAAGTGCTGGGATTACAGGTGTGAGCCACTGTGCCTACCACATAAGTTCTCAGTTGCAGACAGGTGTGATGGCTGATGCCTGTAATCCCAGCACTTTGGGAGGCCAAGGCAGACAGATCACCTGAGGTCAGGAGTTCAAGACCAGCCTGGCCAACATGGCAAAACCTTGTCTCTACTAAAAATACAAAATTAGCCAGGTGTGGTGGTGTATGCCTGTAATCCCAGCTACTCAGGAGGCTGAGGCATAAGAATCGCTTGAACCCAGGAGGCAGAGGTTGCAGTGAGCTGAGATTGCGTCTCTGCACTCCAGCCTGGACAGCAAGAGCGAAGCTCTGTCTCATTAAAAACAACAACAACAAAAAAAAACGGCTGGGCACGGTGTTTCATGCCTGTAATCCCAACACTTTGGGAGGCCAATGCGGGCAGATCATGAAGTCAGGAGTTCAAGGTTAGCCTGGCCAAGATTCGTGAAACCCTGTCTCTACTAAAAATACAAAAAAAATATATATATATATATATTAGCCAGGTGCGGTGACACATCTGTAGTCCCAGCTACTTGGGAGGCTAAAGCAGGAGAATCGCTTGAACCTGGGAGGTGGAGGTTTCAGTGAGCCAAGATCGTACCACTGCACTTCAGCCTGAGCAACAGAGCGGGCTCTTGTCATCCAGGCTGGAGTGCAGTGGCATAGTCTCAATCCACTACAGCCTCAGTCTCTTGGGTTCAAGTGATTCTCCGACTTCAGCCTCCCAAGTAGTTGGTACTATAGGTATGCACCACCATGCTCAGCTAAGTTTTTTTATTGTTGAAACAGTTTCGCTCTTGTTATCCAGGCTGGGAGTACAATGGCACGATCTCAGCTCACTGCAACCTCTGTCTCCCCAGTTCAACTCATTCTCCTGCCTCAGCCTCCCCAGTAGCTGGGACTACAGGCACGTGCCACCACACCCAGCTACTTTTTATATTTTTAGTAGAGGTGGGGTTTCACCATGTTGGCCAGGATGGTCTCGATCTCTTGACCTCGTGATCTGACTGCCTTGGCCTCCCAAAGTGCTGGGATTACAAGCATGAGCCATCATGCCTGGCCTAATTTTTATATTTTTAGTAGAGACAGGGTTTCATTATGTTAGTCAGGCTGGTCTCGAAATCCTGACCTCAGGTGATCCGCCCGCCTCAGCCTCCCAAAGAGCTCGGATTATAGGTGTGAGCCACCGCGCTCAGCCTAAATTTTGTATTTTTAGTAGAGACGAGGTGTCTCCATGTTGGCCAGAGCCACTGTGCCCAGCTGAGAATTGACTTTAAAAATAATGACCACAAGCCTCTGTAATCAAGAGATATTCCAAATTAGTTTTGGCATTATAGGATTGGGTAAATTTTAATTATATTTCGATTTTTTTTTTTTTTTTTTTCTTTTTGAGACAGGTTCTCACTTTGTCACCCAGGCTGGAGTACAGTGGTGCAGTTCACCTCCTGGGCTCAAGTGATCCTCCCACCTCATCCTCTTGAGTAGCCAGGACTATAAGAATGTGTCACCATGCCCAGCTAATTGTTTTGTTTTATATAGATGGGGTCTTCCCATGTTGCCCAGGCTGGTCTTGAACTCTTTGAGCTCAAGTGATCCACCCACCTTGGCTTCTCAGAGTGCTGGGATTATAGGGGGTGAGCCACCACACCACACCAATATTATTTATTTATTTTTCTTTGTTGAGATGGAATCTTGCACTGTTGCCCAGGCTGGAGTGCAGTGGTGCGATCTTGGCTCACTGAAACCTCCACCTCCCGGGTTCAAGCAATTCTCCTGCCTTAGCCGTCTGAGTAGCGTGTTTAAAGTACACGTGCCCCCGTGCCTGGCTAATTATTGTACCTTTTTTTTTTTTTTTTTGAGGCGGAGTCTTGCGCTGTCGCTGTAGTGCAATGGCATGATCTCAGCTCACTACCATCTCCACCTCCTGGGTTCAAGCAGTTCTCCTGCCTCAGTCTCCCAAGTAGCTGGGACTACAGGCATGCATCACCATGGCATTTCACCATGTTGGCCAGGATGGTCTCCATCTCCTGACCTTGTGATCTGCCTGCCTCGGCCTCCCAAAGTGGTGGGATTACAGGCATGAGCCACTGCACCTGGCCGGGTAGGGACAGAGTTCTTACAAGTATGAGGGTATTGTTCATTCTTTGAGTGGGATTGAGGCAGTTTTGGGTTCTTTCTCTGAGAGGCAGCAGGCATGGCAGGGTCTTCCTTGCCAGTGTAGGAAGGGGACAGGCTTATTGTGTGTAAAAGGACGGCGCCATGTCTCAGGAGTTAAGGTGGGAAAGGAACCTCCATGAGAGCCAGGGGTTGTGGGCTCTTAAAGAGCACATCCTCTTTTTCTCAGAATTTCCATTTTTACTGATCAAATATATAGACTTTGTTTTAAATATGCTCTTCCTCTGTTACTTTTACACTACCTTTTGGTGTGGTCTCCATCTTTGGTGAATTTACTTATTTGATACTTAGACTTTCCCCTTAGACTGTGTGCTCCCCTTATGGAGCCCTGGGACTCAGCATGGTACCTGCATCTAAGAGACCTTCAGTAAATACTAGTTGAAGGAAAATTCAGGATTAGTTGAAGGAAAATTCAGAAAAACCTCCAGGTTTTTTCTGGAGGAACTGAATACTTTTACTTAATATTTGTGTTTACTATAATATTTGAAAATAGCCAGGCATGGTGACTGATGCCTGTAATCCCTCACTTTGGGAGGCTGAGAGGGCAAATCATTTTAGGTCAGGAGTTCGAGACCTGCTTGGTCAACATGGCAAAACCCTGTCTCTACTAAAAATACAAAAATTAGTTAGGTATGGTGGCGGGTGCCTGTAATCCCAGCTACCCAGGAGGCTGAGGTAGGAGAATCACTTGAACCTGGGAGGCGGAGGTGGCATTGAGCTCAGATTGTGTCACTGTACTTCAGCCTGGGCAACAGTGAGACTCTGCTTCCAAAAAAAAAAAAAAGACAATTGACCTTTAAGTTGTGTTTCTTGGCCTTGCACGGTGACTCACGCCTGTAATCCAGTACTTTGGGAGGCCGAGGTGGGCAGATGGTAAAGTCAGGAGGTGGAGACCATCCTGGCTAACATGGTGAAACCCCATCTCTAATAAAAATACAAAAAAATTAGCTGGGTATGGTGGCCTGTGCCTGTAATCCCAGCTACTCAGGAGGCTGAGGCAGGAGAATCTCTTGAACCTCGGAGGCGGAGGTTGCTGTGAACTGAGATTGCGCTATTGCACTCTAGCCTGGGTGACAGAGTGAGACTAAATAAATAAATAAAGTTTCTCACTAAGCTATCTTCTTGAGTGTTGAGTATATGTTTCATTTAAGCCCTTTTCTTTCTGGGCCTAATGGTATAGTTGCAAGAGTGAGACCATGTGCTGTGATGGCCAGTAGACAACCAAGTGGGAAGGGCCCTTTTAGTATGGCAGGACTGCTGAATCTCGTTGTGCCTGCAGGTGGCTCATGTCAACTCAGCCTGGCTTCCTCATCGTGGAATAGCAGTGCCCACTGCCTGTCTTGCAAGGGTATGGTGAGGGTCACATGTGAGTTCAAGTTAAATGCAAAGGATTAACTTCACATACACAGAACAAAATCTGGAAGGAAACACCATAGTTACATATCAAACAAAATTTTTAACATTGAAATGGTGGAAAATTATATACATGTTTTCCATTTGTGCGCCAGGAGAAGATGAGGAAGAAATGGAGCATCAGGAAGAAGGCAACGAGCAGCTTTTAGAAACGGAAGGCAGTAGGGAAGATGATCTGGGAAATGACCCCAGTGAGACCACCCAAAAGAAGATCAAAGGCCAGCCCTGCCCAAAAAGGCTTTTTACCTTCAGTCTTGTGAACTCCTATGGAACAGCTGACATAAATTCACTTGCAACTGATGGAAAACTACTTAAACTCAACTGTAAGCACTTTCTCTGACCTTTCAAGCTGAGCTTTAGGGACTTAGGATCTGTTTGAAAATCCTCGCACTCGACACTCTCTGCATTGGGCTTTCACAGTCTCTGTGCCTCCAGGAGCAGACAGTTGTATGATCCTTGGCTTCAAGCCCCCTAAGGACTGTTTCAGAGATCCCCCTACCTTTCAGGCTTTTATTCTCGGTCCTCGATGACCTCGGAGGAAAGTAGGTCTCCCTCTACACCCTCTACTCTGTGGGAGTTTGCTGTGGGTCAGTAACCTTTCCCATGGCCACCCTTGGCAGCAACACTTCCCCATACTCACCCACTTATAAGAATAAATGCGTATTTATTTTGTTCATTAATACTCACGAAATGTGACTCACTCAGAGGATGGTCATGGATTTTGTAGCATCACCGACACATGGAGGTTGTAATGGGGACTGCTGTACAGACAAGAAGAGGCATTCCGAGGGGTTGTGTGCAAAGCACAATTGGCCAGTGAGGACCCCTGTGCCAGTTGGGGGAGAGGAAGCATCTCTGTCTTACAGCTCCCTTCATTGGAGGAGAAACAAGTTAATTAGCTGTTTTGTGTTTTTTTGAATGGGTGGTATACCTTAGTTTTAATTATTTATTTATTTATTTTTAATTAATTTTTTTTTTTTTTTTGAGACAGTCTTGCTCTGTCACCCAGACTAGAGTGCAGTGGCACAATCTCTGCTCACTGCTACCTCCGCCTCCTGGGTTCAAGCCATTCTCCTGCCTCAGCCTCCCCAGTAGCTGGGATTACAGGCAGGCACCACCACACCCAGCTAATTTTTGTACTTTTAGTAGGGACAGGGTTTCTCCATGTTGGCCAGGCTGGTCTCAAACTCCTAGTCTTGTGATCCACCCGCCTCGGCCTCCCGAAGTACTGGGATTACAGGTGTGAGCCACCATGCCCAGCCTAATTTTCTTTTTCAATTAACAGTTTTATTGAGAGAGTTTTAGGTCAGTCTCTGCAGCTCTGTCCTCTGTGGCTTCCCCCTCTGTGGTACAATGCCTTCCAATTTTATTTTTTTTGAGACAGGGTCTCACTCTGTTGCCCAGGCTGGAGTGCAGTGGCATGGTCTTGGATCACTTCACCCTTTGTCTCCTGGGTACAGGCAATCCACCTCAGCCTCCTGAATAGCTGAGAATACAGCTGTGCACCATCACACCCAGTTAGTTTTTGTAGAGACAGAGTCTCACTATGTTGCCCAGGCTGGAATGCCTTGCAAGTTCTAGCCACCTTCTCAAACTCCAGTCTTTGACTCTTCAGCTTAGTCTTCCCCTCTCTCTCCTATGCCAAGTCCTGGAAACTGCCTGCAGGCAGTAATAAGCTAGGATGCTGTAGGGGTCTCTTTTTTTTCCCTTCTCTCAGGGATCTCCTTTCTGCCCTATCCAAGGTCTGAAAACAATTGTTTCATCAATTTTGTCAGGTTTTTTTGTGGTTTATGATAGGATGATAAATCTGGTCCCTATTACTTCATCTTGACCTGTGCCCTTTCAGAATTCTCCATAGTTAGTTCCTTTGTAGCTTATTTGTATCACTGAGGAAGTCTTTGCCAAAGGCTTTTTGGGGCTGGAGGTCAGAAGGGCTGGCCCATTGCAGAGCATTGCTGTTGGCAGTGGCTGCAAATGGGGGACTAGGTGTTGGGATAGTGTGGCCTGAGTGTGGTCCTTCTCCTATCACTTGGAGAGTCTCTGCTGTTGCTTGCTGTCCCATATAACAAGTGGCATTTTGGTCCTCAGCTCGATCTACACTGGCCATCGATTGGGACAGTGAAACTCGGAGCCTTTACTATGATGAGCAAGAATCTGAGGTAGGTTCCTCAGGGTTCATGATCAGTGGTGTCTGCTGGTTTCTGCTCTGGATGTGTTCTGGGATCATTTTCATCAGTTGGACAGCAATTTAACAAGTTATGTTTAAGACTGAGAAGGAAAAGCACTTGAAGATTTTGGCATTTTCTGTTCAGAGACTCTAGAAAGGGTATTGCATTCCAGGTGGGAGAGCCTCTGTAGGCCTTCATGTCTTAAGCCAGTAAGATCTCTTTCTCCAGCAGAACTGAGTGCTTTGTTTCTCACAGGCCTATGAAAAGCATGTGAGCATGTTACAGCTTCAGAAGAAGAAGAAGACCACAGTGGCCCTGAGAGACTGCATCGAGCTCTTCACCACCATGGAGACCCTTGGGGAGCATGACCCCTGGTATGCAGCTCCTCACTTTCTGGGCAAAGGCCCTATGCACCCCAGGACTCAGATCTGCTAGGGCCCTCTGTGCACATAAACTCCTTTGTATGGCTGGGCGCCGTGGCTCATGCCTGTAATCCCAGCATTTTGGGAGAGGGAGGTGGGCAGATCACGAAGTCAGATCAAGACTATCCCACCCAACATAGTGAAACACCGTCTCTACTAAAAATACAAAAACTAGCTGGGCATGGTGGTATGCACCTGTAGTCCCAGTTACTCGGGATGCTGAGGCTGGGGAATCACTTGAACCCAGGACACGGAGGTTGCGGTCAGCTGAGGTCGCACCACTGCACTCTAGCCTGGGTGACAAGAGCAGGACTCTGTCTTAAAAACAAAAAACTCCTTTGTATTTGGATGTGTCACTTTTTTTATATAGCCATCCCTACAACATAGTCCTCTGTGAGTTGAGGTTTCCTAGGAAAGCCATCACTCTATTTTGGAAGACAGGTCCCTGCCTGGAAGTAGTAGCGTTGAATGCTGACTGAAAGGATGGTAGCTGTCATGAGACTGCAGCTGTGCCTCCATGCATGAGTGCCCAGGTGGCACTGGCTGCCTGCCTGCTCTACTAAGTAGAGGTTTCTCTTTTCAGGTACTGTCCCAACTGTAAGAAGCATCAACAGGCCACAAAGAAGTTTGACCTATGGTCCTTGCCCAAGATCCTGGTGGTCCACCTCAAACGTTTCTCCTACAACAGATACTGGAGGGATAAGCTCGACACAGTCGTAGAATTTCCAGTCAGGTGGGTCATGGTGACCACATTGTTAGGAACATTTAAAAACAGGCAAAAAAATCTTGACATGATTGGCTGAGTGGTTTGCCACCAAAAACTTTTCTGAGTAAGGATGTGTGTTGCTGGGCTCTAGGAGGTCAGAGTTTAGTTGTAGATATCCCTCCTGTCCCTATCCTCCCGTCTTTGGAGAAGAGACTCTCCAGTGGAAGTATTTGCTGAAACTCAGGCTGCTGCCAGTCATTCCTGTCCCTTATGCCACCTAACTGGCTTGTTTTTCCTGTCTATTATTTGTCACAGGGAGTCTCACAATAGGGGACAAGGCAACCAAGAATAGCCTGCCTGGGAGAGTTGGATTCTTATTGGGTGCTACAGGTGGGCTGCAGACCTGCCATGGTCCTGTCCCTGGGAAAGGGGCTGGGACTGGCTGTCTATTCTTATCATCTCAAGCCCCGGGGTATAGAATGTAGCTGAGAATAGGAAAGTAAGTCAACAAGACAGGAGTTCCAGGCTGGGCTTGGTGGCTCAAGCCTGTAATCCCAGCCCTTTGGGAGGTGGAGGTGGGTGGATCGCCTAAGGTCAGGAGTTCGAGACCAGCCTGGCCAACTTGGTGAATCCCCATCTCTATTAAAAATATAAAAATTAGCCAGGCGTGTCATGGCAGGCACCTGTAATCCCAGCTACTCGAGAGGCTGAAGCAAAATAATCGCTTGAACCTGGGAGGTGGAGGTTGCAGTGAACCGAGATCGTGCCACTGCACTCCAGCCTGGGTGACAGGGCAAGACTCAGTCTCAAAAAAAGTGGGGGAGCTGGGTGCAGTGGTTCACGCCTGTAATCCCAGCACTTTTAGAGGCCGAGGTGGGCAGATCACAAGGTCAGGAGTTCAGATCCAACCTGGTCAACATGGTGAAACCCCGTCTCTACTAAAAATACAAAAATTAGCTAGGTGTGGTGGTGGGTGCCTATAATCCCAGCTACTTGGGAGGCTAAAGCAGGAGAATCATTTGAATCCAGGAGGGAGAGGTTTCAGTGAACTGAGATCACACCATTGCACTCTAGCCTAGGCAGAGATTCTAAAAAAAAAAAGGAAAAAAGGAGTTCCCTGGCAGGGCACAGTAGCTCATGCCTGTAATCTCATCAATTTAGGAGGCCAAGATGGGAAGATCACTTGAGTCTAGGAGTTCAAAACCAGCCTGGGCAACATAATAAAAATTCGTCTCTATAAAAAATAAAAAATATATTAAAAAAAAAAATAGGACAGGTGTGGTAGCTCACACCTGTAATCTCAGCACTTTGGAAGGCCAAGGCAGGCGGATCACATTATCAAGAGATCAAGACCATCTGGCTAACATAGTCAAACCACGTCTCTACTAAAAATACAAAAATTAGCTGGGTGTGGTGGCATGCACTGCTACTCAGGAGACTGAGGCAGAAGAATTGCTTGAACCTGGAGGCGGAGGTTGCAGTGAGCTGAGTTCGTGCCACTGCACTCCATACTGGTGACAGAGCAAGACTCGGTCTCAAAAAAAAAAAAAAAAAGACTGGGTGCAGTGTCTCATACCTGTAATCCCAGCAGTGTAGGAGGCCAAATCAGCTGGATCAATTGAGGTCAGCAGTTGAAGGCCAGCCTGGCAAACATGGTGAAATCTTGTCTCTACTAAAAATACAAAAATTAACTGGGTGTGGTGGTACATGCCTGTAATCCCAACTACTTGGGTGGCTGAGGTAGGAGAATTGCTTGAACTCAGGAGATAGAGGTTGCAGTGAATCAAGATTGCACCACTGCACTCCAGCCTGGGCAACAGAGCAAGACTCTATCTCAAATAAAAAGGGAGCTGCCCACAAAATACAGATTTTAAAATGGTTTCTGGGGGAATGAATATATACATGAAGTATAGCATGTCAGCAGGAGACTCCAGGTGATGGAGAATAAGTATTTGTTGTAAAAATTATTTATCTTTTCTGTGTGTTTGAAATTTTAAAATAAAATGTTGGAGGAAGAGAGCTTCTGGGGCCTGTTTTGATTGAGTTTAAATTATTATGGCACCAATTGTAATTCTGTTAATAGCCATTACTGCATACTTGCCGAAGCTCTCTGTGTGTGTCTCCAGACCCCTCGTCACCATTTTATCTGGTGCTGGAGTTACTGGAAGTTTCTCCCATTTTCTTTTTTTTTTTTTTTTTTT